TCTAGAGAAACTTAGAGTCAGAATTGTCTAGGATGCCTAAGATAAGCTTTTGGCCCAAAATATATATTTCAAAATACTTACTGGGATAAAATTGTCCCCAAAGAATTGACCAGTATTTAACCAGTATCAACATTAAACATAAAAAACAATATTTATTACATGTGAGAAACATAAATGGCTATGAGAAACAAATAAAAGACATTGCAACCCCTGGTTTCCTTTCACCACCATTATAAAGAGAGGAAGTCTCTGTACAATGCACTGCTTCACATCAAACCACTTTATCTTTGTTTTTATTTCAATGATTACACTGTGCTGAGATTTTTAAAATTTGGTGGAATTCCCCTTTAACTGTTATTCTTTAGGCCACTGAACACTGGATGTCGTGCCCTGCAGAGTAGTGTAGCATTGTATAGCATCAGGTAGCAGATGCATTACAAAGAGCTGGTATTCTACACAGAATGAGTCGCAGCCGATGAACATCAAGTTAAATTTTATTTACACTCAACTCATATTAAATTAATGCATTAAAGCAGCATAATTTATCACATTTGTATTGGTTTATTACCTCTGTCCAAACGTGCTGTTTTCTACGGCACCCCAAGGAGCCGTGTGTTCCCTCACAAAGTTTTGCATTCTCTCGCAATGATTTTGCAATGACAATGAAAATTGACATTGTGTACCTTCAGAAATATTTTGCTTTCCTTTGCAATACTTTTGCATTCTTTTGCAATGATTTTGCACTCCCTTACAATTCTCTGGCAAATGCAAAAGATTTTGCATGTGGACGCAAAACTTTTTCTGTGGAATGCAAAACACCTGCAAGGGAATCCAAACTGTTTGCGAAGAGTGCAAAACTATTGCAAGGGAACACAAAAAGTTTGTGAGGGCATTCAAAAACATTGCAAGGGAATTCAAGGCCGTTGCAAATATTTTTTTCCCACAATGTCACTTTAGCAGCTCAGTAGTTTTTGAGCTGAAAGATACAGGGTGAAATAAGCAAGCCTGAGGTAAAATACTACTAGCATTTGTGTGTTTATATAAAAGACTGACTGCCTTTATTTGTGTCAATTTTAGGGATGTGAATTCTAGCTAATTTTGATATTCGGGTACTTATAAGAGTCAATGAATGGATGTTCAATTAATCGCAGAGAACTAGGAAAAAGGGGGACTTTGGCCAAAAATAAAGTAGGGCAGTAAACTTACCTTTCAAGCAATTCCACAAAAATAGCAGCATGCTGAGGAACATGTTTCATTACTTAAAAACAGCTGCGTGACATCGGTAGATTTTCGCCTCTTCAGATAAGCTAATGAGCTAAAAGAGCATTGTTTCTGGAGCCAGCTAACACCAGCTAGAGTAGCTAGCTTAGTTAGCGATAAATCTGTGCTATCTCTGCCTTCATGGTCACAGGTCCTCAGCAACGAGCTCCTGTTCAGCCACTCGTTACTCGGAGTAGCAGATGCGAGAAAAACTGTCACATTTCACTGAATTGCTGGCCTGAATATCACTGAACATTTTCTCCATCTTCTCATGATTAAATGTAATGGACTGGCTGAGTAATGTTAAAGTTACTCCAGTGCTAATCCCAGTACATTTCAAGCCACTTGTTACCTACTATGGCTTTCTGTAGTCTTAATATAGCATTAATTTAACATAGTAAAGACAAAATGCTGAGTCAATTTTTGGTTGCTGTGCTGGGCCTTTAAAGGGGAATTCCACCATTGTTTTCAAAATTCCTGCATAATTACGTGGTTGAAATGTAAATAAAGTCATTCTAATTGGTTTAATGTAAAATGGTTTATTGGTTGAGAAACTTACTGACCCAAATTTATTTACAGTGGTGCTTATAGGAACCAGAGGTCCAAAAGTCTACAACACTAATATATATATATATATATATATATACATATTTATTTTTAAACACTAATTTTTTAAAATTATTTTACGTGCTACTATCCAAAACCACCGGTGAACCTACATGTGTCTTCAAAATGTATAGGTATAATGTTAATGATGGTAAAATAATGGTGAATCTGAAAAAATAAGGTTTCTTTGGGGACTATTTTGCCTTAGAACACCCTTCTTGTATCCATCCACCAGGAATGGATTAAAATCTATTGATTAAAATACATTTTAGACCAAGACTTGTGTATTCATAATCACTTCATATAATAACCTTCTGTGAGGGAGCTTTTGGGTGCATTAAACTCCTTGATGTTGTTGATGTTGACCATGTAATTATGTAATTATGCAGAAACCTGGGAGAAGCAAAATTGGTGAAGTTCCCCTTTAATGTAATGAATTTATTCCAAGATATTTTAAAACTATTGTAATTGGTCCATTCATGGATTTTCACACAATGTAAAGGGCAGCTGGTGTCCAATGGTGTAAAAAAGGTTTGAATATTACAGCAACAATGTATGCATGGCTCAAGTAATCTAATGAAGCATCTAAGGATGTCCACTGTATGTTTATCTGTGTTATCAGTATAACAGTGCTGTGAAAGCACCAGTGTATTCACTGTACAGCAGAATAGACAACGGGTCTGCTTTGCTTTGCACTTTATGACTTTATAAGCCATTTTACTGTTGGTTTACGGCAGAAGTGGCCATGCCGGGTGAATGGAAAACATTATGGAGGTGATAAAAAGCTGCTTTTATTCTGTTCCCAAAAGCAGGCCTGGGATCAGTCTCCCTGACCCAAATTCTAACTTCACCATGGTTTCAGTTGCACCGTAAAAAGCGGCATTAGCAGTGCAGGCTGGTAACATATAGCACATAATCTGGATTATGTAATCAGATTACAAAAAATGAAGTCTTTGTAATCAGGCTGTAATACATTTATTAAGATGTGTAATTTGATGGTGCTTTCCTGATGACTGTATTTTGAGTTTTTTCATCTCGATCTCTGCTCTTTGTATACATTAAAATCATACATTTTATTATTTAGATGCAGCCAAATCATTCCATTGTGAATTTTGTATTAGTTTAAATACAAAAAGACTTTTTTAAAGGAAACGAGCATCTGCTGCTTAATAGGGTGTGAAATACAATTAGTTATGAAAGTGGAAATAATCCAAGGATTGATCAGATTAGTTACTCTTTTTAAGTAATCCAACAGATGCAGTAAAGTTCAGCAACCTCACTGCTAGGCTTCAGTTAAATTTAGGGTATTATGTGCCTTCAAAGAGGGGGGATACAACGATTATTTATTGTCGCTCTCCCCTAATTCACCTGTGATATGAAGCTGAAGTCAGATATTTGGCAGCTTCTTGTTTAAATTTTTCTGTTCCACCTTAAACGGTGTAGCGGTTTTGGTACCTGAGGCGCCGGAATGTAACTGCTGCACCATTTAAGGTGGAACGGGAAATTTAGCTATCTAGCTACCAAGACATCAGCGAACAACCAGCAATTTTTTACGGTTGTTATGAAGAAAAGGACCATAATACACTGAAATGACATTAAACTAAGACAATACAATGGTTACTGTAACTTTTAACTGAAAAAATACTTAAATTGTTTCTTTGGTCTCTTGTGCAGCCATCTTGCCGGTTTTCTTTGTTTCTCATAACACTCTGTTTGGAGTGTGCCTCTGAAAAACCTCCATTTGGAGGACCACATAGCCCCAACACTTCGCACTACCGCTCTATCTCAACAAGAATTGGGACACCCTACCCCTAGACGGGAACGCACAAAACAGAGGGGTAGGGCTGAGTGGTAGGGGCGAGGGGTGAAATGGGATTGGGTCATTGACACCCCAGACAAATGACCACGTTGATTGTTCATGTTGAAGTTCGACATATTGGGGAAAAAAAAAACAAAAACAAAAATGCTCGCAGACCACATTTTATGTTTTTTTCTATCCAATGTGTGAAATCCAGCAAATTAACAGTAGTGCCATGTTAAAATGTGTATTCTCTGTAGAGGATGTGTACTTATTTTCACTTAGAAAATCAACAAAACATGCCATTCGACCACGGGCGTGCAAACGTTCTTATAGGAACAGTATCGGCATTATCGCTATGATGAGTAAACATTTAAAATGTTCATGGGAAGGAGGTTTTATTTGTAGATGCCTGTAGAAATGCTATTATAAGGTCAGTTTTTGCCCTTTTGTTTTCTAATGAATTTAGTTATATGTGCACTACTGAATTTAATGTTTGATACAAGTTTGGGTCTCTCTTTAAGGGGGCATTGTGGCCTAAAACTAGTATTTAATATGTTATTTGTCATGTTGTGTAGTATTCTGTGATGCAGCGGTGCACATCTCAGCCTCCTCGATTTGACCGCTTTGTGTTGTATCTGTGTTTTCATTCATCGTCACTACAATACTCAGCATGCATTGCACTAATACATCACATAATCATTAGGAATCCCTGTGGTGCCAACCAATCGTGACTGCTAGCCACTGAACTAAAACCCAATAAATACATCTGTTAGTGATATAGCACTAATCTCAACTGGTCATTAAACTTATTTTTATTACCAAACTGTTTTATGCACCCTCAAAGCACTTGTAGTCTTTCAAAATGTACTTCCACCTTCAAGATACGTCATCAGAAGGGGGTTTGTGTAGTCTTTAAACCAGGAAATCTCACTCTAGACACTACTGCAGTGCTGCTGTAATAGGTGAGTAAGCATGTTTACAACTGATGTAGCAATGGTTACGTGCTTAATTTTGGCCAGAGTGCCCCTTTAAGAGGCCAAAAAGCTAAGTTATGCTCCTTACGTGACAAGAGTCCAGCACACATTTCAAGAAGATAGTAACTTGGATACCACAGGACACTGTACAAATCCGAATCTAAAGAAAATTTATTGGGTGTACACAAACCATAAAAGTGCTTAACTCTCAACATGAACCTAACCGCAATGCCACTCTTAAGGCAAACATACAAAACAGTGCAAACAGTCCAGGGAAGGGACAAGAAACAATAAAGAGTGAGACGACTGACTGTTTCAGACTGAGACTAGAACAGTTAAAGAAGGTGTTAATGGTTGACAGTGTTCTGTTTCAACAGGCAGTGAAATGCCCCAGGCCTGTTAGTTCAGATTCAGCATAAAATCTGTAAGAAGAGCAAAAACAACACAACATTTTACACAGCAAACAACTGCCTAACTAACTTTATAGTGGTACTACATCAAAGATTGTGCTATGAAGTTCCTTTTTTCAGTCATAATTCATGGATTATTCATGACGGAACCACCTCGGCCTTTACTCAATCGCTACTAAAACCACTTCTTTTTGGGTTTGGATGTGGAGCACTGATTCTTGTTGCATGATCCTCCGTAAACAGAAGGACAAGCAGAGCATGGATTTCCTGTCTTATATGGAGCTTCACCCACCCAGTTACCCCTGCAAGATATAACAACAGCACATTAACACCAGGACTGATAGCAGTTTGACACTAAAACTGGTACGATCTGTAAATTATGCAGGAAAGTTAACTTGGACTGTATGTGGGTACATTTCAAAAGGTATATGATTAAGTCTTACTTGATGGAGTAGTTGCAGACCAGCAAGGTGGCCTGTTTCCATGTACTCCCGAACACGTACATGTTTGAACACCTGTTGATGGCACACCCAATCCTATTGGTGCTAGCCCACACCATCTGTAACCCACGATTAACATCAGCCATGGGTTAACATACAGCACTCCGACTTTTAATTAAACAGCATTGTAAAGCACAGTGGCGGTCAAAAGTTTGGGGACATCTAGCCATTCAACATATTTGAATGCAAATAAGCATGTTTTCTTTGTTTCTTTGCAGTAGTTCATTTCAAAATAATGTATTACAATGATGAACTGGGTTTATTTTGAAGAAAACAGTGTTACACATGTAAATCTTTGTGACAGTATCTGTAACAGTACTATTAATGCCATGCCCCACACATTACACATTACACTCTTGTTGTGATGTCAGCACTCAAACCTTTTAGGTGTTTTGTGGCCTTTGGGCTAAAAGAGTTTCAATATATGGGTGATTCTACCATTGCAAATGAATGTTGTTTGCGATTCAAGTGTAAAATGTAGTCTGTCATATTGAACAACATCAGTAAAGTGGTAACACCACTGACCGTAACACCACTGACAAAAGTAGTTTGTTATTTTATTTCAATTTTAAAATAACCTAATATTACATGAGTTACACCACAGACACAATCTTTTCGCACACCTGAAGCTGTCCGTATTTTACCCATATTCATCAGAAAAAAAGATTTCACTAACCATGGACTTCTCAGAGTCAGTCTTTCATCCTTTCAGAAATCCATACAAAAATATTCAAAAAGATATTCACTTTTTTTTAGTCACATATGGTAATGTAACACCACTGACACAATGGAATGCAAAAGTTTGGGTGCTCTTGGTCAAATGACATGTTTTATTAATAAGTTCACACATCCTTTACAGAGAACACACATTTTAATGCACAGTTATTGTTTATTTGCTAAATTTAACATTGGAAAAAAATAAAACATAAAATGTAGTCTGTGCAAAAGTTATGGCACATTTAATATTTTAAGCGATATATTTTTTTACACGCTAAACTCAGCAAATGAATAAAAATTGTGCACTAAACTTTGCAGAAAAAAATGCCATATTAAACTTTGTTCCCTGTAGAGGATGTAACTTATTTTCACTTGTAAAATCAAAAGAACATGTAATTTGGCTGGGATGTTCAAACTTTTGCATATGACTCTATGCATAAGAATTACTAAACCCTTGTCAAAATGATTCAGCTAAAGCTGTATGTCAGCTTGCACAGTTTCAGTTCTGCTTTAGGGTTTTTTTTACAGTGGTTTCTGTAAGAGCCGTACCTGTGTGTAGTGGGAACAGACAGAGCCAGTGCATCTGTTGGGGTAGGAGAACGAATGCCTCTCCTCATGCCATGACTTCACCAGCTCAATAACTGACCTGTACCTGCGAGAAGGAAGACACAACCACTTTTACACAAAAGTAAGATGTCCGAAGGAGAGAACAGCAGACATGAAAAAAAAAAATTATTTGTTTAGATTTCAGTCAAAACAGCCATTAAAGAGCAAGTTCATTTTTCAGTATCAGGAAAAAAGCAGAAATATACATTTAACAGAAAATTACACAGAGGCATCAACAACTAAACATATAATTTTTTAGAGTTTAGTGTGTGCACGCTTTGCCTTCATTACAGCTTCCCGTCTTTTCTGAGACACTTGCTTTCAATTTTTTAAAGAATTCTGCAGGGATATTTTTCCACATCTCCAAAGTTCAGTCTTAGAAGTTGGTTGCATTTCTGCTTCTCATGATTGAAGTAATCCTAAACACATTCAATAATGTTCAGTTCTGGACTCTGGCATGTTGGTGGTTGGTGGTTTCCTTTTTCCTTTTCTCAGTAACTAGTTCTTAATAGCCTTTCAGACTCATAGTGTTGAGTTGTGTTCTCACAGTGGAAGGATGGACAGAAACCACTGAGGATTTATAAGATCAGAAGCAAGAGTGGAGCTTGATTTCCTCCTCTCTCTCAAAGATCAAAGCTTTAAGTACTGTTTATCTGACGATAACAGTGCTGGTGGTCTGCCAGGTCTTGCATGGTTGTTAGGAGTCCCATTTTCTCGATAACTTTGAATCATTGTTTGAACTCCAGTTTTGGAAATGTCGGCTTTTTCCACTTGTTTTCCTGAGTTTCCTTTTCCCATGCAAGTGTATTATTTTATATCTACTCTCCTCAGAAATATCTCCTGACAAATTAATGCAAGAAGGGTGGTCTCTGACTTTTGGACAGTACTGTATATGATATGTGGTGCAATGGTAAGGGACAAGTGCCAAGCTACAAGTCCCGAAAAAATAGCACAAAATTATACTAAATTAATTAGCATGCCATTCTTGTAGAAACTAAAGAAGGCTTTATTGTATTTTGGCAATGGACTAAAGATTTAAAAGCCTCCCCACTGCATTTTGGCATAGGCATGATGCAAATTAGTAAATTCATGGACTTTACACAGCAAATAGACAATGAAGGCTTTTTCATTTCTAGAACAGTGCCATGGAAGTTAATGTATCCATGAAATACTTGCATTAGACATAAAAATAATTAAGAAAATAAAAGTAATTAAGAAAAACAAAACCAAATGGTTCTTTTAAGCGAGGCCGTAGAACAGTGGTTCCCAGCCCTGGTCCCGATGGAATCCCTGCCCTGTACATTTTTTGTATTTAGCAGATTAGTTGGATCAGGTGTGTTGGGAGCTGGACAAACTTTAAAATGTCCAGGATCATGGCTGAACGCACTGAAAGGTGCTTTCAATCACCATTTAAAGAGCTATTTGGGTGAATAAGATTTGGGAGTGTGAAGAGCCTTTTCGAAATGTAAAGAGCCTACACACAAAGTGCTGCTAAGCTACACATAGAACAATACATACAAGCAAAGAACCATTTAGGAACCTTTGTTTTTAAGAGTGTTCTGTCATATCTCCACAAGTCTTTAATACCTTCCAGAGCTGATGGACAGGTTCTGGCCCATGTACCTCATCACATGGGGAGGCCCGTGGTCCCATATGCACTGAGCGGCCCAGGACTCAGCGGATTTAGCAAGCCTCTCATCCCACACCTGTCCAAAGAGAGAGGGACAAGAAGCAAAGACTATTTTTTAATAAAGAGGATTACTCTGAATACATGCTTGTAGCTTTTGGGTCAAAGCACACTGGGGTTCTGCAGCTAAATATGCGATTTATAGGTGCTCCTACTCGACGCCTGGGCAGTGCTGAAGTCCTCCAACATTTGAGTTGGAGAATTCTGACAGAATAGATAACTAATACTGTATGGTGTCATTACAGAGTGACATGCCATCAGCATTATAATTCACTCTAATCTGGGTTAAATTTCATAATTGCATGACTGATTGATAAGAAATAATATTGGAGTTGTTAGAGATGGATCAGCACCACTGTAAAAAAATTTAAACTTGGTGAGCATCCAGGTTAACTTGAGATATTGAGTTCATTGAACTTAAGTTGACAGAAGAATAATTTGTGTTTCACATTTGTTGCCATATTATTTAAGGTTCAATGAACTCAACATTTCAAGTTTATCCAGTAACATTTTTACATTTAAAAGATGCATAATAAAGATGTGGATGCATTTTAATGCACAATTACTGTTTATGTACTGAATTTAATATTTGTATTTATTTAATTCTGCTTTTAATATTTTTCCCCAATAAACTAAATAAATGCTAAAAAAATAAATTCTAAAAAATAATATCCAGAATTCTTCTTATTTATAATGTGCTGATAACATCTCGATGTGCACAACGTGACAAAAATGTTGTAAATAGATAATTAAAATGTTGTTTTGTATTTACAATCATTCGATTTGTTATTTGACATTAAATAACGGGTCCAGAAATACTAGAAGTATTGAATAAAACATCTAAAAACACCCACTGGTGTCTAGTATACAGTGTGTAAATCTACACTGTGTGAGTTATTAATGCATATAAAATCACCAGAATAATTCATATGACAAGTGATTCCAGACTTTTAAACACTGTAAGTCTTACAGAAGGTCTTGTCATCAACATTATGGTCTGCTGTAATATGGGTCCAATGTGACATTGCAATGTATGGTGACTGAAGGGAGGTAACATTACCATGTACTCCATGTTGGCTGCGGGTGGGAAGACCTGGGAGCGCACTCGATTGTGGTAATCCAGCAGTGCTGTCATATCTCTGGAGGAAATGTAGCGCTTCCTCCGGCTGCGGGGCGCGCTGCTACTGTTCCTCAGGTTTAACTCTGGCTCCAGGCCAGCGGAGCTGAGGAGGATGAGCTCAGCAGAGTCAGAGGGAGCCACGGCCGCTGTGGAACATGGAGTCGCCCACAAGATGGCAGCCAAGAACAGATGAGTGCAGGCCACACGCATGGCACAGCTCTGGAAAAGTGCCTATATGATGTTAAAGGATTAGTTTGGTCAAAAAGACTAACATTCCAAACTATGAATGTGAATAGTCACAGCTGAACATACTTCAAACAGACTCATGCTTATTGGTCCTTTCAGGAGTAAAACCAATCAAAAACCTAATACTGCTAGGAATAAATTCAACTGAGTAGGTACCAATTAGCATTTTGCAAATGCTAATTAGTATTATGCAAATGCCTCCAATCATTGTTAGCCATGTTAGAATCGTTGGTTAAGCTCTTCCTTTCATCAAAAGCCATCAATCAAATAAGCTAATTTTGCTAGGTATGAATGTAACTGAATGTCATGAGACAAATTGAGTCAGAATTGCCTGGTTAAACTCTTCCTTTCAGGAATAGCCACCAATCAAAAAGCTAATTGAGTCAATTCTCATTTATTTCCAGCCATGCAAGACCAGACCTCTCTATCTTTGAATGGGGAGAGACCAAAATACTCTAAACTGCTTTCCCATTCATATTTTGACCAGTGACCTGTCTCCACCTTTATAATGTCTCTGGTGTAATTTAACACCCATCAATTAGTATAATAAAGTCATGCTACTTGGTGGCTGCCAGCTTCCAGTCATTGTTAGCCATGTGAGTATTTGGTTAAGCTCTTCCTTTTGGAAGTAGCCTTCAATTTAAAAAGCTATTATTGCTTGGAATGAATTTTAAACCCTTTAAACCACAGGCTTATTACATAATAAGGCTTATTATTCAGTAACTATAGGCACTTTAAGGCAAACTGGTTGAGCTATTGTTAGGTTATCGAAGTTTTAATAAAATATTTTGGGCCCTAGTCATGTATGGGGTTAACTGAAAAGCCATCAATTAGCATGCACTGAGTCGTGCTAACTGGTGGCTAGTTTTCATTGTTAGCCATGTTAAGCTCTTCCTTTCAGGAACATCCATCACTCAAAAAAGCTAATATTGCTAGGAATGACTGCTACTGAATAACTGACAATTAGTATTGTCCAAAAAGAGCCATGCTAACTAGTGGCTACTAGCTTCCAGTCATTGCTAGCCATGTTAGTAATTTTGGTTGAGCTCTTTCAGGAGCAGCCAACAATCTAAAAGCTAATGTTTCTAGAAATGAACTGTAACAGTAACTGTAATAGAGTCATACTAACTGGTAGTTTAACTTTCAATCATTGTTAGCCACATTAGCATGTTGGGTGTCTTCCTAAAATGGGCTATATAGTCATGTCTGGTTAAGCTCTTTCAGGATTTGGCACCAATCCAAAAAGCTAACTGAATGTAATTGAACACCAACCAGTCAGCATGCCACCTTCCAACCATTGCTAGCCATGTTAGTATGTGTTTGGTTAATCTCTTTCACTCAGGAATATCCATCGGTTGAAAAGACTAATATTGCTAGGAACGTATCTAACTCAATAGCCACCAGTTAGCATTGTGCAAACAGAGTCTTGCTAACTGGTGACTTTTAGCTTCCACTCACTGTTAGCCATCTTAGCATGTTTGGTTATGTTCTTCCAGCAGTAGACAGATGTACAGCAGGATTATGGTATAGTGATTAACTACTCCTGTGGCACTGAGCACTGAGCAAAACTCAAAAAGATAGCAAATAGCCAGTCGCTGTGCAGCATAAAGACATGTAAAAATGCACTTTCACTTTAGAAAAGGTCTGTATGTGGGCCCACACTTCAATTCATAACACTCATAATGGCATAATACAATATAACATACAGTTTCATAGTATGAAATAATTCATGTTATTTACTGAATTCTTAAAATGAACAAAAAGCTTGCATTTTAAAATGTGAATCCGAAAATAGCTGATGAACCCTTTTACTGTCAAGAAATCAATATCAGCATTTGCAATATTTAGCCCATTTAGCCTACATCTCCAATATACTACTGTCTTTCTCTTTATTACTGTGCTCTCCAAGAGTAACAAGACATCTGTACTTCCAGAGTGCATTCCCTAGAGAAGATGAATACTGGAATATACCTCTGAATGAAGCCTTGCAATCCCCCAAGAGAAAGAGTGAGTCCTAAGTTAGAGTGCTCTTCACTTCGCATACCTTCAGCAGGGATTCCAGCACTGTGGTGGAAGGGAACGCCTGCGAGGATCTCCACTTAAACGCCGGCCTTCGCAAACAACACCCTTTGACACTTGCAGCAGGGCACTTTAAGTGGGCCAGAAGTCTCTGAGGCCATCTGACGTCGACGAAGAAGGAGAACCCAGTCCGCTCTTTCTGCCCCCAGAGGGACGGTCTCTGGGTTCGTGAAACAATTTGATGGGAGTTTTCTTTTGCTTTTTCAGCACACGCTCTCCATCCTGCGCCAAAACCACAAATGGACATGTTCTTCCAAACAAAAGTAATCAATGGGAATGTAAGAATTTAGCAATTTGGAAAGGAGGCAGCAGGCATTTTCCTCCACTGCAGGACCTCCACACTTTCAGAAACAAGGGTTCTTCAGGGGTTCTTTAGTAATGAAAATGTATATTATTATATATTCTATATCACCTCTGCTATTGTTCAAGACCCATTTCTTTGAATCATACTTATTTCAGCCTTACCCAGGGATTACAGCTCATGGTTTAGCTTGGGTTCCATCATGCCCCCTTGAGATTTCACCTTAGTTGACCCGATAATGTCTCTTTAAGAAGCATCACATTCCATAAAGTGGTTATTTTGGCAGTAATGGCCACTAATGTCTTGCTACTCCATTACCACTGTAGCCATAAAATATAACTTTTGCTTGTTTTGGGAGTTCCATCCGTTGAATTATGCCCCTTTTTCTTCGATAACACATTTGGATGGAAATGTATATAATTCAGAAAACCAGAGGGGATGATATTTGTCATCATAGGTGAGCAAGCAAGTCAACATTTATGTGTTTTTATTGTGTTTGTCCTTTTTTAATATTGTGGCAGCTGTATATAATTTTTTTTATATCCATAAAGCTGCAGTTGTGTTGTACGTTCCTCCAGGGGGGTTCCTCCACGGGGGTTCCTCTGCTTTCACTCCTCATTGCTCACTAGCAGCTCAACACAGAGTCACATTTCATGCACAGAGCCAACAGTGTCCTAGTTAATTTACAGGGAAATTGATATTTAATTAAAATATCTGAGTCCTAAGCATTAGTCTGATCATCAGAAGATTGTGAGTTCGATCCCTGATGATGTCACTGCCAACTGTGGCCAGGAGGCCAAGAAAGCACAGCTGACCTTGCTCTCTTAGGTGGGTATGGGATGTTCCTCCCTCTCCTCCATCACTCAGTGCAATTCTAGATAATGTAAGTGTCTGTTAGCTGACGTAACAAAATTGGCAGTTAGCACTTTCCTCCAAAGGTGTTGAGCTGCTCATCAATGTTGGGTTAGCAGCCTTTTGAAAAGATGCAGTGGTGCTCCACATGACTGGGAGGAAACATGTGCTAGACGTCGCTTTCCTAGCATTGGTAGTATTGTGAGATTGAGGAAGACCTGGCTAGTGGGTGGAATTAAACATGACTAAATTGGGGCAAAATGGGAAAAAAGTAAATTTTTGATCTGCCAGTGAGTGGTCACGAGGGGGCCTGCAGAAAAAGGCTAAAATCAAGTTCATTGAAATCCATATTGGATCTTTAACAGGTTTACAGGGCAACTTGGACCTCTGAAAGATAGCTATAACTCACATCTTATCACTGACCAAAGAAAAACAAGTATGGTGAGTTCACAAGTTTTGACGATAACAGTACTAATATGTTTAAGTAATGTGATTATATTTACCTTTAATGACGTAGTGTACTGCATTACAGTTTAAACACATGTAATCAAGTTATAGTTACTGATTTATAAGAATATTGTTACTTGTGTTACTCATATGTCTATAACAGAGCAAAATTAATTACACCCAATGCATTTAAAACATATATTTCCTCTATACATAGACTATATATGCCTGTCCTTGTACATAGACTATGCTACCTGCAACAGCTGACTGCATGACTTTCTTTGTGAATGTGAGCAGCAGAAGTGCAGGAAGTGTTAAACACAACAAGTAAACTAATTGGGCTAATATAAAACTGATAGATAAAGATCTCTGTGTGATTTTCATTCAGAAACAGCTCTGTAAGCTTTAAATTTTTAAAGATTTTATTTCAAAGCAGCTGGATTTGACTGTTTCTACTGGCTAGTTCCTCGGTTTTCAAACAGCATCAGCTGTTCATAATTTTAATCAGCATAGCTGGCTGTGTCCTGTTTAACGAATAGTGCCAGGCCTTTTGTTTGGCTATTTCTTTCTAAATAAAGTACTGAAAGCAGTGCTGGGTTTTCTCTTCTAGCTTTGCAGTTGGTACAGAAGTGCAAAGGTTTTAGAAAGTAACTTAGAGGTAAACTAATGAGTAATAAGAATACTTTTTCCAAAAGTAAAGTTTATCCCATTACATTTGAGACAAGTAATAAAGAAGAGAGTACCTGTCTGTTTAAGTTATTATGAAGGCATGGATGTGACACAGTATATTGGTCCCATGTGCACTTTTATCACTTTACCACCTGTAGCACGTTTGTTTGGACACTTGGTCTTGTAGGTTTCCTGTCACCACTACCTTTGACTAAAACACAATAAGGTTCAATAAGTGCACGTCGGGCCTAAAACAAAAAAAAAGACATAAGACAGAGGCCATTTTTCAAAGTCATGTAGCGTTAAGTCAGTGCAGCAGCTGTCCAGTGTTCCTGGGAGGATTAAAGGAATTGTGCCATATGCAATACAGCCACTTTCTAGACTCTTGCTAGTGCCAAGGTACACTCCAGAGCCTGGCACAGCTCTACTGTATGAGGTCACTGCGTGCATCCCAGTCCAGAAATGGAATGGTACTGAGGGTACCTCTATGAGTATTAGTCTGCTGCTCAACAGAGAAACATAATGAGTTTAATTATACTGTTATTGCTAAAAGCTTTAATGTGGAGAATTATCTGGAGAAAAAAAATATTAAATTTGTTAATATCTTCCAATGGATCAACATTAAACCTTTTTTTACTTGGTTATTAAGTGGACCGTATCATGGTAAACAATTCTGCTTGCTTTTAAAATAAAAGTTTAATTTAATAAACATTTTAAAATACATTGTTCACTCCCCAATCCATACAGTCCACATATGACAATTAAGATGCAGGGAGGGAGCAAATGTATCACTGCAGTCTTCCAAAAAAATCCCAACATTTAGCCGAAGCTTAGTTTTTCCGATAACCTTGAGGACTTCGGTCTGAGTCTCCGTATATTTCAGCCTTTGGTGTGTGAAATTTTGCTTGTCAGGTAATCAGGACAAATGACATTTACATAGATCAGTCTTAAAGGCATAGTGACAAAAATAGGCTTCATAAAATTGGAAAATGGTCATGTAAAAATAAATCATGACTCTTTTTGGTACATTTACATATATGTATATATGTATATATATATATATATATGTATACATACACCGATGATATATGTCTTTACATATTAATGTCATATACAATGGTTCAAAAAGAAGGTCTGGCTTGATATTTAGGTCTCAAATGCAAAATCGGCATTATACTGATGAAGATATGATGTATGATGTATGACAATAGTAGTTAATTCACTCGAAAAGCAGCCCAAAGCAAACCAACATTAAAACTTTTTCTTCCACACGTTGCATTCAAATCCTCAGAACTTCTATAGTGTAATTTAATATCTAAGCGTTGAAAAATAAAGATGAATGGCAAGTTCACTTCAGGAAACCCTTAAGTGCCACTTAATGTTTTTTTTTGTCTGCAATGCTCTTAACCTTAGGAAATACTTAAGGGCAATCTTAAGGCAAAATTTAACTTATATTTTATGCAACCAGGCAAATATGCTCAAGCTAAAGCTCATAGCTATTTGGTGTGGAATGCCAGAGAAGTGAAATGATGCCAAAAACTAAACCTTTCAAAATTAACAGACAGGAAACCTTGTAACGAACATCTACCAACAACAAGCAGCCATTTAAGTGGGTGTGCCGTTTACCACAGAGCTGTCTCTCCTGTTCTGTTTGAATCTTGACCCTGTAAACATGAGGACATGCCATGCCATTTATTGGAAATCACTGTGCTCACAAAACTTAGCCACCTAGGCTAGCTCATTCTAAAGGATTTTATAACAAGGATTTTGCAGCTAGTAGCACCCTGTCAGGTTGTGATTTAGTGACGACCATTCAGGCTGTGTTTTCTCAAAGAAACGTCTGAAGTTAGCAGTTCTCAGGGTCAACCAAGAGCCTCTAGTCTCAAGGGTCAAAGTTCACCCCGAGGCCTGGTCACATCTGTTTAGATTGCTTCCTTTCTACTCAGTAAGGTTTGTTTTCCGCATACGTGCAACAGATAACCTTTAATTTGGAATTTCTGATTTGGAGTTTTAATAGTTCATACTTCAAACGGATATACAGACATTGACACATCAGGACAGGTGTTTCCATTATGATACCTCCATGCTTGAGCAAATGTTTTGCTGTATTATCTATCATACAGTTACATTGGTAAACACTGTTTCCTGGTGAAATACTGGACAGTTTTATGTGTTAGCATGACAGATATGCACAACAAGCCCCTACGCTGAAGACTACAAAGAAGCCTTGTGTAGCGTAGCACTTATATTTAGCAACAGGCACATCCATGTCAGTTCTGCCACATACTTAATAGTTCTGTCATCACACAGCATCACATGCAGAAGAATGTTGAGCGGCAATATCAAATGAATTTCTCGGTGCAGCCAGACTGATGTTGTGGAGTAGAAGCTTATATCTGTGGGCTTGAAAATAAGGCCAGCTAAAGCTAAGCCTCTGTAGTAGAGCTGGACAGTGTGTACAACACATTAGTATTGTAAGTGTACTGCTACATTTAGGGTCAGTTTCGCTTCACATTAAGCCTAAGCCTAGACTAAAAAGAATTTTAAAAGGTGATTCATCATTGGCAATGCAATTTAGTCCAAGACTGGAGTTAATCCATGTCTCAGAAACTGGCCCATAGCGATTGTGATATATGTACAGGCATTGGTGCCTGAGCAATGGAGCACCACATCATAGAACTGTATATTATTTCAGAGCCCATTCTCGCCAGATAGATGAGAAAAACCTGTTTTTCCCTTCTCTGTTTATGGCAGTA